ACGAGTAGAAGAACCGTCCGATCCGAACGCCGATGATCCGTACACAGAAATACCGGAAGAAACTCAGAGCGCCGGTGATCCGAGCGTGAATGATGAACGCATTGCGGATCCAGCATTGTCTATATGGCTATGAATGCTCCTGGAAAATAGGGAAGCAAAAGAGCCAGTGCTGAATTGTGCCATTGTACAATAACAAATTAAATTGCTTCGAAACGTCGATTGATCACAACGGTTTCAAAAGAGCTTGTAGGCATGAAGTAGAGAGTAGCTTTGAATGTTCTGCATACAATGCTGACGGGTACTCCATGCAACCAGTTATGGAGAATCTGGCATTATTTCCGTGTTGTAGCAGTTGAAGCGTGAGAATTCATGGTCACTAACATTGTGATAGCCATATGGCCTTAAACTTCATTATCTTCGCCACAAAATTGATTTATGGCTTTGAACTGGATCTATCCACTCTGAATGAGGTCATGAGGCCAAGAATAGCTTTGCGGAATCTCATGGATCGCTATTATCACGGAGAGCGCTAAGTAATGAAGTTTTCAGCATAAGGTGGAGGATGAATTTCCCAATCTCAAGCAGACATTATCAATAAGTGGCAGAATCTGCGGAGAGTCTGAATGTTTTGCGTTGGATGCAGCAAAGCATCATTTGTTACACGATTCCTGGCCATTGTGATCGATCATTTCATCACAAGGCTTCCTTATTGTTTGTGTTGCCGAACAAAATGACCCGATGAAATTTCACTTTATTTTTTTTGGCCTGAACCGAGCAATTAACTTTATGTCATGATCAAGACTACTAAGATCGCATGTTTAAGGTTATAGAGCAGACAGTGTAGTGCCAGAATAAAGGTCAGATATCTTCCGCTTTTTTCATTATAAAATCCTAGCAGCACTGACTACCATGGCATCAACAGCCCCACTAATGTTGAGATCGTGGGCACCTGAGGCATGCTGTATCATCTTATCCATGGAGATCACAATCGCAGAAGATGAGACATTTGTCATGATGCTGAACTTTGCATTGGGAATGATATGACCTGGCAGGCCACTAGTAGCTTCATGTCATCCTCGAGTAGTGCTTCCTTGTTCACAGTGGGCATATGCTCCTCCGCCTTCATCGCATCATTTATCACAATAGCAGCTCCAGATATATGATCTGGATAGTATAGAGGGGAACTTCTGAGAAGCTGGCAGTGAGCAGTTTGCATTCGGCATGTGCATCATGGTGTTCTACAGGTGAAGCATTATTACTGAGCTGTCATTTCTTCTAACATGGTGCGATTTTGGCTTATCAAATTTGTGATCAGGAACTGACGATATGTCAAACAGCTTTGTACTCTAGAAACAAGCTGGTGCATCCTGTCAGCGAGATAAGCAAATCACCAGATAGTGAGATCCTGCATAAAATGGTGGCCACTGCTGGCAAGTCTGCTTGAGGAATCTATAACTAAGCATTTGTCTGCATTGCCCAGTACCCTGTTCATTGCTGTCGTTCAAGTTACAGGCCATGGTCGATCACATAGATGTGAGATGTTCAACAAGACAAGCACGAGAACATTTGAGGTAGAGAACATGGCCAACAGGGCACCTCTAATGAGAAGTACATCTAAAGGGGTGAAGACGAAAAACTAGTCAACTGAGCACAATAATTAGTGCAGAAATGAATCGACGAATATCACTATCTAAAACTTGAAAGCATGACTGTGAAGTGGTCATGGTAGGCTCAGAAAGGAAATCAAGGGCTGTAAAGAGCTGAATGGTGGATTCAACCAAGCTGCAGATAATGAAAAGCTTCTGAGGTCACTGTAAATATTTTAACATAGCTCAAATTGGAATATATCTTGCAGTATCACCTGTTGAACATGTTACAGATTTAGGAAACATTCTTCTGGCGAAGATTGCCCCAGTCCCACAAATAGCGTAATTACGCGTATGTCTCGGGAAGATAAAGTCTGCCATACCGAAACTGATGTAAACTATCAACTGAGGACTCAAATGCATATCTTGACAGACTTATTGTTTTGATAGGTAACATTCTCCATAGACTGACAAGCTGCAACTTCTCAGAAATGCAAAAATCTGCTGCGTTCACATCCCTATTGCAATATTGTAATGAAGACCATAAGATTACGCTGCAATTGAAGCATGGCAAAATAGAAACTGTAGATATATCTATACCAGATCTTTTCCAATAGTCGTGTCCTCATCCATGTGAAATTAACTGGACGCATGTATATGTGGAGATAGCATTGTTTTTGCAGTTGCTGATCACATCACTGATACAACTGAATTTAGTACGATTTCTCATCTTGCCACTCCTGATGCCTTGACTTCATTGGTGAACACTGATTCAAATGTACATATATGCTCTTTTCAAGGTTTTCATTGAACATCTGCCATGACCTGTGTTAGGCCTGATCCAATGATTATTTCGCTCGATAATTTTTGAATTGTCTAAATAAATAGACAGACCATCGACTATATGCGACTACCTTAAAGCATCATGTCATCACAATAAAAACAGTGTGAATTTTTACATCTGATTTGATGAATGAATTCCTAGTCAGAATAGTGCAACATATGCTGTATACAGCAACTAACTGAAAACATATCATAAATTTAGCTTTCCGGCAGTGTAGACTATATAACCATTATGCATTGGTATCAACAGATCACTTAACATATCAGGACCTTCTAATCTTGTTCGGTGAAGTAGTATTGTAACAATGATTGCTACAGCAGTCAAAACTGGCGGACGCATCGATGCGAATGTCATGCCCAATTATGGATGATTTTGTCAGCAGCATCATTCCTATGTATGGAGAAGTAAAGATTAGGACAAAGCAATGTCAGTCCGCTCACTTGTACATAAAATTGCATTAATTTGCATGGCACAGATATCGATGCACTGAATAGCACAGGTATCGATAAACTTATGAGAAGATTGATGTAATGCTGAGTTAAGAGTCAGTAAGTGTCGGTATCGATGTTGTTCAATGCGAGTGTATGATTTCAAAACTATTGCTCATAATTGGCTGTGCAACCGTGGAGTTGTGACCAGCAAGAGTTTGAAACAAGGAAAAGGTGCAAGAATCTCATAGTGCTGTCATGGTATGGTTCGTCAGTAATGTGGTCAAAGCCTAAACTTTAGTACTATGATATAGACAAATTCACTGCATAACACTGCATTCAAATTCCGTATTGTAAAAGCCACTGTTTAATAGTTAGGCTAGAATCGTTGCTCTAAGAGTAAAGAGCGGTCTCATTCTTATATAGAATAGCCAATTAAGACCGATTTCACAGGAAGTCGCGCAATGAGCATGGCTGATTTGGACTAGCGATGACAACTAAAGGTGACCTGCTCATGCGGTCATTGAGACGTTATGTGTATCATTTGCATATGTCATGCTCATTGATCAAAATGTTTTGATTTAGCTGTCATGAATTTGAGGGAGTATTGATGGGAGTCAGGAGTCAGAGCATTTTATCTGTTCTTACTAATGGAGTTTCAATCTGCGTAATCGGCTGTTCCAAATAGAAAAGAAGTGTTCCGGGCCAATCAATGTGCTGGATTTGCTAGGTTGCAGCACGAAAAGCAATAATCATACAGTGGCTTGGAAGGGGAACCATCCCATATTTCAAAGCGGCCTGCACAATTGTGTTCAAAGTTTTCTGGCATTGTCAGTACTGTAAGCAAAACAGTGTCTTATGGTCGATTGTTGGCATCGGCAGAATTAATTAAGAAACAACTATGTAGACATCTACGGTATGAGTTTCTTCAATTTCATCTCTTCATTTGAACTTGGGTAAGAGGGCCATTTCTTGCAGAAACGATTTCTGAGGTCCTGACACATTAAAATATCAGTCTCTTTGACAGATTCAGCAATATATATCTGTGTCATCTTTTTCAATAATATGAAATACTGCAACGTGTAATATTAGGAGAGCTTTTTATTCAAGCCCTTTGATGTCCTTTCTAGGCATTCAATACCCTCCCAATGTTATTAACCTTGAAAATACTGCATGATTTGAGCTGTTTTGAAATATTCAGAGTGGCCTCAGAAGCGCTTGTTCATTATCCAAAACTTGGTTGCGTCACAACTCAGGTCTCTAAGGTCCTTCAACATTCTTGCTGGGCATTTAATCTCTTCCCCACAATGTCATGAACCTTGGTGAATCAGCCCTCACTGATGTTTCACTATCTTCTCCTAGCAAAAATATGAAGCTCACTCCTTCATCAGACAGCAAGCCACCCGCGGTTGTTAGCAGCAAAATGCTGTCACCATCATCGCTGGATCCAAATCTGCACTTGTTGTCATCAAGAAGCAAAATATGTCAGCAGATTTTGAGTCTGACAGGATAGTCAGCGATGCACTCTCTATCATCGCTGCTGACATTTCTGGTGACATTGCTCATGGCAGATCATGAGAGCAGTGTTTCTGATGCTTCAGGAAGGACTTAGACTGCATCATGCTGAAAGGAAAGAGATGATGCACAGAATGCGAATTCTCTCATATCATGAGCAGGTTGACATGCATATCAAAATTGGTGAGAAACCCATTATCTTTCTCTCAGCACAGGTCTGCAAGCAAACCTGAAAGTAGGAGCGGCCGATCTCATTGTCAGCCCATGTCCAGATCTTAATTCTGATCAGTATTACATTGCTATTCATTAATTGAAAGAGGAGCGAAAGAATCATGAGGTAAAGATAGCAGTTTTAGAAGATATTTTTGCTTTTATTAAACCTCACAAGAAAAATTACAAGCTTATGGCTAGTAATCATGCTGCAAATATGGCAGTGTAGATGATCGTAGCAAGACACTTGCCATTTTAAGCTGTATCAAAATATTCAGAGTGGCCTCAAAAGAGATTCTCATTATCTTAGACTTGATTTTCAAATCCTGAGTGGCTGACATACTTACCGGTTCTGTAGCCCTCACAACTATTAATTAAGCTAAAAGTCTGCTATAGATAAATATAATCACACTCAACATGTTCATTGAGTATATTGTATAGTATGTATGCTTTTGATCAAACTCTGATGCACTACATATACAAATGGTACTTTGGAATATTGAACATAGCATGGCTAGGACTTGTCTCGCTAAATACAGATTCAAATTTGCTGTATTATGAAGATGATGACAGATCACTCATGATGTGAGGCTGTTTACCTGTAAAGTTGATAAAAAGATGACACTGACCTTTATGTTACCATTCTGAGAAATGAGCTTCAGAATGGCTTGAAGCATTACAGCAAAGGTGTGAAGGAGATAATAGTTTAAGTGTAACTTTAAACAGACATGAAGATGGCTTAAAGAGAATGCTCTTAAGACTATAACATGGCCTGATCAATTTTCAAAGATTCATCTATCATTTTTGAAGTCATCTCAAAAACATATTAGCAAGGTATGAGAGGTCACTTAAAGAAATTGCAGAATTGTAAAAGCAATTAAAAAAGAAATGAGGGGGTATTGACAGGTTTATGCATCAGAGTTTGATCAAAAGTTTACATTAATGCCTTAAGGCAGTGCTTAAGACAAAGGATTGATTAACCAAGTACTATGGTTTTTAGGTTTGGAGGCTTTGAATTGTTAGTGATAAAAGTGTATAAATGAGTGAGCCTGATAGAATTGCACATACCTTCAAACACCATAAATATCTAATCAACAGATACTCAGTTGAAAGCTGAAAAGAATGGATTTCTAGTGCTATATTATCCATGAGCATGAAAGCAGCCAAAGTGAAGATAGAAGGGCAACAGTGAAAATCAAAATGGCTTAAAACTTAATTGCAACAACTATTAGTTAAACAAGGAATAAAAAGTGTGATAACTTCAAAAAAGGCTAAATAATAGATTATTGAGATGATAGTATACAGTGACCCACAAAACTGTTGATAAGATTGCTCACTTCAACTTGTATAGTACATATCTCCTCAACCAATGAGTCAACTACATTGTATAAGAACTCATTGGAAAGCATATCATCATGGCTTTCTAACGCAATTTTGGTCATATTTTTATCACATTTTGATGCCAAAATATTTACTAATCTTTGAGGGCCACTCTTTATCAACAGTTTTGTGACACACACACAAGTTCTCAGAAAATTGCGATTCTTGGTGTGTTGACAGGGTTCTTTGTGGGAATATTAATTGATGTTCATGTTTCAACATGAACAATTTACAAACAGCCATACACAACTCTTCACACTCAATCAACATCATGCCAAAAGCTGTTGCTACTGAAACTGTCAACCATGTCATCGCTTTGCTTCAGAATGGCAAATCTCTTCGAGAAATTGAAGCTTTGACTGGTCTACACTACTTTACCATCAGTAAACTACACTCCACACACTGTCTCACCATTTCTAAGGCCAAAGGAGGATAACCTTCCCTTCTTTCTACTGCCAATCTTCGCTATGCTACTTGACTTATTGGGACTGGCAAGGCTACCACATCTCCTGCTGTGACCAGAGCTCTTGCAGATGTTATTGGGAGGGTTGTCAATGCAGAGACAGTGCGAAGAGGGTTGAAGAAGGCAGGAATGAAGGCTGTAGTAAAGCACAGAAGGCCTTTACTCGCTGCAAGGTATTGAAAGGAGAGGATGGACTTCACTTTGGCTCACCAATATTGGACTGTGGAGGGCTGGAGAAGGGTGGTATGGTCAGATGAGACAAAGATTAACAGGATGGGATCAGATGGAAGGAAATGGGTGTGGAAGAAGCCAGGGGAGGGCCTCAGTGATAGGTTGGTAGAAGGGACCCAGAAGTTTGGAGGTGGATCCTTGATGATGTGGGGCTGTATGGGCTGGGATGGTGTAGGGTATGCCTACAAGATTGATGGCAGGATGGATGCAGACCTTTATGTTAGCATTCTGGAGGATGAACTGCAAAATAGCCTGGAGGATTGGGGAAAACTGTGGAGGATGTGGTGTTTCAGTAAGACAATGACCCCAAGCACACCAGCAAGAAGGCCAAGGAGTGGTTCAAAGACCATGATTTCAACACTATGATATGGCCCTCTCAATCCCCAGATCTCAATCCCATAGAGCATCTGTGGGGTCATCTCAAAAAGAAGCTTGCAGAGTATCAGGAGCCACCAAAGGGAATTACTGAGTTGTGGGAAAGGGTAGAGAAGGAATGGGAGGCTATTAGGAAGAAAGTGTGTCAGAATCTGATTGAAAGTATGCCAAGAAGGGTGGATGCAGTTGTGAAGGCAAAGGAAGGCTATACCAAGTACTGAAAGTATGAGTTTTGTAGAACCTGGATATGTGCCACAAAACTGTTGATTGGAGTGACCCTCAAAGATTAGTAAATATCTTAGGATCAAAATAAGGTAAAAATATGATTAAAACTGCATTAGAAAGCCATGCTGATATGCTTTCCAATGAGTTCCTATACAATGTAGTTGACCTATTGGTTGAGGAGACATTTACTATACAAGTCGAAGTGAGCAATCTTATCAACAGTTTTGTGGGTCACTGTATTGTTGGCCAGATTAGATACAGTGGAACATGATGAAATGCAAATGTTTGAAGTGTTTTGAAAGAATTCAATTGATTTGATGAATATTGATCGCAGATACAGCACTCTGATTGGCCATGAATATTTGCAGTTATTTGGATCAGCCACCTATCAGATTTACACTCCGATTCAAACCCAGCACTTCATGAGCGTAGGCAAAATTAACATTTTCTGGACTATAAGCATGATGCTCAGAGCCCCAGGAAGAAGATCTTTTAATTTTAGAGAAATGGAATTGAGATTAGCTCAAAGCATTGTGTGCACAATGCCAAGCTATGATGTTTATCATTCAGGCAACTAGCTAGTTGCACTAACAACCAACATCATAATTTGGTCTTATTTGCACATTGTGATAACTTAAAGTGTGGGAATTTAGATGGCTGACATCCTGTAGCCTCAAATCTTCGCTTTTTTGAGCCGGAAAATAATCTGCATGATGTTCTCATTGCAGGGCATGAAGATGTAGTGTACTGTGTATTATTCATGTGGTCAAACATTATAAAAAGTCGAAATATGGATCAGAGTTCTCAACAGTTTACCATGGTGGCTGAAGACTCAGATTGTCTCACCTATTCTGCTTGTATGGATGAAATGAGGAAATACCATACAAAGTGAAGCATCAGCATGCAGTATACTCTATTGTACATGTTTACATATCAAATTGTCAACAATGTCTAAGCCTGCTAAGGTTTTTCAGTTCAGCCACAGCAGCACTGAGTGTTACAATTTCTGAGGTATAAAGAAAGAGTTTATACAAGACTGAGCACTTAGAGCGTCTATGCAGCATTTTTTCACCCTCGTGGGATACTTAAACAAAGCATGGCACAATAGATCATTACAAAGTGGTTTCATTTTCCACCCTTGTCCTGAGGTTAGGAGAGGCCCTTCCTTCAAATTTTTCTTACTGGATAACATTTTGTTCTTACTGCTATTTGTTATCTTTTCTAATGAACATATAAGCCAGAGTTTGAACCTACACGACGCAGCTGATCCAAAAAGGTGCAAAGATTCAGAGCCAATCACAGCACTGAATTTGCTAGGGTTAATGCCTGAAGGGCTGATGGCTTCAAACCATTCAAACCACTGTATTGAATGGCTTCAAAGCGGTTTAAACCATGGCGTTCACCATTTTGTGATATGGAATGAATGGTTTAACATTTTCTGGACTTATGATAGTCTCTACTTGAGAAATGAGAATAGATCTCTACATTTTATTGCTCTACACTTCAACTTCTTCATTCTGAGGATAGAAAAACAAGTCCTATTGGTGCAATTGAAGTTTTCTGCACCAGAGTAGATTGTTTGGCCTTATTTGGCTTTGGTGGCTGAGCCACAGCTTTTGGTGTGGCTAATGACTTTCTAAGCTAACCACATATGCTTTTGTTGCTCGGAAAATGTGTAGGAGGAAAAAGATTATGATGAAAGACTTAACAGATTATACAAATAGTTTGTGCACAGCTTCAACAATGCATTTTTACAGTAACATTCAAAGCTGCTGTGGCTAACCTTTCCATGCTTAGATATGACTTATAACTTGAAACCTTGACCTGCACAGTGGAGTGTATTGTATTCTAATACCTCACTTTATATACTGTTTCTTCATTTTATCAAAACAAGCATGTTGAGAAAGCTGAACCTCACGATTGAGGCTCAGGGAGAAGCTGAGGTACTGAGGCCCTCACAAACAAGAGTCCAGATTAATGCGGCTGAGGAATTAGATAATATTTTCAAATGTATACACGTATATATAAAGAAATGCCATATCAGGAAGATCTGCATCATCCCGCATCCTCCTTCATTTCAGACGCTCACCCGTGTTCTGTGTTCCTAATCTGAGGCTTAATAGGTTATGAGCCTCGGGCTTTCAGATTAACCTCGAATCTTATCAATCAACTGCTTTGATATTATTACTTGACAACATAGCTGAAGAGAAAAAGAAATTGTCGTACTCGCACATCGAGCTCTTAAAAGAAGACACTTGGATGCTCTGGAAGACCAAGATGGAGGCCATCCTCGATGATAAAGAGCTCTTGCCATGGATTAAGGACAAGAAAAAGAAAACCAAGATTCAAATCGTCGGAGACTCCGAAGAGATCCAAGCGCACGAAGATGAGATCAAAGAATGAGAAAAGAAAGACTGTTCCACGTACACCATTATCACGATCAATCTCAGCAACGACCAGATTGTGAATGTGACAGGTGCGACATCTACTCGAGACATGTGGAAGAAACTCTGCATGGTTAAGGAGCAACACAGACAAAGCGGTATCGATTCTCTTATTCGATGTCTCTACCGTACATATGCGGGTGAAGGAGACAACATCGGAAAGCATATTAAGGAGTTATGCAAGATTCGAGAAGAACTACATGTCATGAGAAATGAGATTGACGACAAGCAATTTTGTAACATCATCGTCACCTCGTTGCCCGATACCTGAAAGACGTTCACAGACACCTATTTCAGATTCTGAGGTGAGCTCATTGATAGTGACAATGAGAAAATGGAGGAACAGAGGCAAGAAAGAGAGAGGAAGAGGAACATAACTGTACAACAACTCATCGAGATAGTTCTTGATGAGTGACGTCGCCGCAAAGATCACGATCTGAGCTCGAGAATGGATCAAGCAATGATAGCCGCTCGCAGGAAGAGGAAGCGTCCTTCAGAGCGTCCGAAGAATCCTGGAGCTAAAACTGAGTCCTCAGACGATGCAATCATCTGTTCTAACTGCAGCAAGCCACGTCACACCAAAGCTGAATGCTTTGCTAAGGAGGCAGAAAGGAAGGCCAGTGGCTGCAGTGGTGGAAGAGACCTGATGAAAAGAGGCAGAAGAGAGTGGATCGCACCAACAAGGGTGAAGGATCCTCGAAGGGCAAAGAACGCGCATTTGTAGCGCATGATTACAACGAAGATCAGAACACTGTATTTTTAGGTAATTTTGATGAAGATATTTCTTCCTTTTATTCGTGGATTGCCGATACAGCGATGACCTTGCATGTCACAAACTGACATGAGATCTTCACATCATATCAAGTGCTCGAGAATCATGCCATCTTCTAATTAAATCTGGAGAGCTTAGCGGCAGTTGGCTGCAGCTCTGTAGATCTCGAAAGCACATTTAGAGATCAGAAAGTGTGATTTCAACTTAATAATGTGCTATATGCGCTGCAGGCATGTCACAACTTAATTTTGCTTGGGCGGCTGGATGCTGCAGGTGGTCGCATTGTTGCAGAAAATAAAAGAGCTATTCTCATTGATAAAAATGGGAAGACATTGGCTACTGCCACACGTCAGAGCTATTTATATTTCACTGACAATGTGCGACCATTGTCTAAATCATCGAGCATCACCTATGCAATGCAGGAACACACTCCGCATACATGAGCAGAGTGGCACCGTATTTATGGCCATATCAGGAAAGATGCGCTGAAGTGCCTTCATTGAGAATCACTTGTTGATGGCTTCACTGTCATTTCGAACTCCGACAATTTCACGTGCGAAGCGTGCATCCAGGTAAAGTTCTCTCGCAAGCCATACCTGAAGAGCACTGATCATAGAAGTGAGATCTCCGGTGAATTAACATATACTGATGTGTGGGAACCTGCTCCGACGACTGCTCTACAAGGTTGGTGATACTACATTACTTTTACTGATGATGTCACACATCACAGTGTCATCCTTTTTATGAAAACAAAGGACAAGACCTCTCAGAAGGTCAAAGAATATATGACGTACCTTGATCGCTGATTCAGTCATCAGCCGAGGATGATCTGAATTAACAATGGACATGAGTACCTCAATTCAGATCTTACTGATTGGTGTCATTCTCAGAAAATTGAGACCGGTGCTACTGCACCATATTCTTCTCCCCAGAATGGTGTTGCAGAGCATCTCAACTGCACGTTGCTTTCTTTAGCACGTGCAATGTTGTTCACCCACACTCTACCTCGTTTCCTATGAGCTGAAGCAGTGCATCATGCAGTTTATATAAAAACTGTGCGCCTACATGTGCGCTCAATGGCACCACTCTAGACGGTAAATGGAATGATAAAAAACCAAATATCACTCACCTTCGACAGTTTGATTGCGTTATATGGGTTCTTGATGAAGAACTCAACTTATCTAAGCTCGCGCTGTGAGCCAGCAAACATATCTTTGTTGGTTACATGGACGGTCCCAAAGCAATTAGATATTATGATGCTAAAATGTGTCAAATTAAAATAACGCATAATTATCATTTCTTACCTACACTAGAACCTGAGTTTACTGATTCTCCATTTGGAGAGTCGCATCCGCCTGCAAATACACAGTGTGTGGGGGAGTCCGAGAGTAATAGCGATGTGCAGATATTTGCATTAGGTGATGATCCATCCTGAGACCTTGATCTGGCTCGAGGAAGCGATCAAAATTCTCGAAAGAGAAAAAGACGAGAATATGATGCACCTGTTGAGCCTAGAAGGACGAGCAGAAGAACCGTTCAGCAAGATTATTGATTGCTGAATGATCTGAGCATCGATGATTTGTCCTCAGAAGATGACGACATACTAGAACTGGAAGAAGCTCAGAGCATCAGTGATCTTGATCTGAGCGTGAACGATGAACGCATTGCAGATCAAGCATTGTTTGCAGAGCTTGTCTATATAGCCATGAACGCTCCCCAAAACATAGAAGCAAATGAGCCTAAGACACTAGCTGATGCAAAGCAATCTTCTGAATGGCTAAGCTGGAAGAAGGCTGTCTAAGCTGAACTTGGACAATTGCATGACATGGGAACATGAGATCTGGTAGATCTCCCTCCTGATCGCAAACCTATCAGAAACAGATGAGTTCTTGTTAAGAAGACAAACAAAGAAGGTGAAATTATTAAATATCAAGCACGTCTGGTAGCGAAAGGGTACTCTCAGATTCCTGAAATGGATTTCTCAGAGACCTTTACGCTGGTTGTGCATCTCGAAATGATTCGTGCAGTCCTAAGCTTGGCAGCAGTCCTTGATTGGGAAATCTAACAAATGGACGTCAAAGGAGCATACGTGAATGGATCCCTTAAAGAGGAAATATACAGTGACCCACAAAACTGTTGATAAGATTGCTTACTTCGACTTGTATGGTGAATATCTCCTCAACCACTGAGCCAAATAAATGTCCTAAAAGCTCATTTGAAAGCCTATTATCATAGCTTTTCAATTCAGTATTTTAATATTTTTAGCATATTTTAATTCCAAGATATATGATACTCTTTGAGGGCCACTCTTATCAACAGTTTTGTGGCACATATTCAGGTTCTACAAAACTCATACTTTCAGTACTTGGTATAGCCTCCCTTTGCCTTCACAACTGCATCCACCCTCCTTGGCATACTTTCAATCTAATTCTGACACACTTCCTTCCCAATGGCCTCTCATTCCTTCTCTACCCTTTCCCACAACTCAGTAATTCCCTTTAGTGGCTCCTGATACTCTGCAAGCTGCTTTTGAGGTGATCTCACAAATTCTCTATGGGATTGAGATCTGGGGATTGAGAGAGTCATAGCATGGTGTTGAAATCATGGTCTTTGAACCAATCCTTGGCCTTCTTGCTGGTGTGCTTGGGGTCATTGTCTTGCTGGAACACCACATCCTCCACAGTTTTCCCCAATCCTCCAGGCTATTTTGCAGCTCATCCTCCAGAATGCTGACATAAAGGTCTGCATCCATCCTGCCATCAATATTGCAGGCATACCCCACACCATCTCAGCCCATACAGCCCCACATCATCAAGGATCCACTTCCAAACTTCTAAGTCCCTTCCACTAACCTATCACTGAGGCTCTTCCCTGGCTTCTTCCACACCCATTTTCTTCCATCTGACCCCATCCTGTTAATCTTTGTCTCATCTGATCATACCATCCTTCTCCAGTCCTCTCCAGTCCAATACTAGTGAGCCAAAGCAAAGTCCATCCTCTCCTTCTGATGCCTTGTAGAGAGTAAAGGCCTTTTTTGCTTCACTACAGCCTTCATTCCTGCCTTCTTCAACCCTCTTCACACTGTATCTGCATTGACAACCCTCCCAGTAACATCTGCAAGAGCTCTGGCCACAGCAGGAGATGTGGTAGCCTTGCCAGTCCCAATAAGTCAAGTAGCATAGCGAAGATTGACAGTAGTAAGAAGGGAAGGATGCCCTCCTTTGGCCTTAGGAATGGTGAGACAGTGTGTGGAGCACAGTTTACTGATGGTAGAATAGTGTCGCCCAGTCAAAGCTTCAATTTCTTGAAGAAATTTGCCATTCTGAAGCAAAGCGATGACATGGTTGACAGTTTCAGTAGCAACGGCTTTTGGCATGATGTTGGTTGAGTGTGAAGAGTTGTGTATGGCTGTTTGTACATTGTTCAAGTTGAAACATGAACATCAATCAATGTTCCCACAATGAACCCTGTCAACATGTCAAGAATCACAATATTCTGAGAACTTGTGTGTGTGCCACAAAACTGTTGATAAGAGTGGCCCTCAAAGAGTATCAAATATCTTGAGATCAAAATATGTTAAAAATATAAACAAAACTGCATTGTAAAGCCATGATAATAGGCTTTCAAATGAGCTCTTATGACACTTATTTGACCTAGTGGTAGAGGAGATATTCATCATACAAGTCGAAGTAAGCAATCTTATCAACAGTTTTGTGGGTCACTGTATATGCGCCAACCTGAAGGATATAGCGACAGATTAAATCGAGTATGTTGCCTTAGAAAAACTTTATATGGACTCAAACAAGCAGGTCGTGAGTGGAATATTGAATTAAATGAATGTTTATTAGATGTGAGTTTCAAACATTTACTCGCAGATCCATGCGCATACATCTGAATCCAAGAAAATAAAATAGAAATTGTCATCATTTGGGTAGACAATCTATTATTATTCACCAATGATCTGAGCATTATGGGACTTCTTAAAAAGGAACTTCAAAATATGTTTGAAGTCACTGACTTAGGAGAATCTCATAAGATCATTGATATTGAAATTATGAGAGATCGCGCTAAATGCACGATTAAAATCTCTCAATCTCAATACATACAGGCTTTATTATTCAAAAACGGATTAGCGAATGCTAATTCTGTTGGAATGCCTCTTGATCTGAACATAATGCTCGAGAAGA